CTGCCCACTATTATGATGTTGGAGGTGAGCAGGTGGTATGGAGTCCCAATTTTAGAAGACCTCAGCTTGATCAAGAGGTGGAGTGTATATTACTGTTGGACAAACTAGAGCAGACCAAAATTTCTAAATCAACCAAAGATGGTTTGTGGTGGAAGGAATGTAGAAATGGAAACTTCTTGGCCGGTATACTTGTCTACCTTCAAAGTGCTTTTTAAGGTTGTGGATCAAATTGAAAAAATAATGAGACTTTCTCTGGGAACCTAGGGATTCCAAAAAGGATCATCTAGTGAAAAGTGGTTTCTAGGAAAAAAGATAAAGGGGGTTTAGGGATTGGAAATGCCAAATTAAGAAACATGCAGTGTTTTAAAAGCGCAAGGCGCAAAAAAGGCACAAGGTGCAAAAAAGGTGCAAGGGCCATTTTGTGCCTAAGGCGCAAGGTGAGGTGTGCGCCTTTTTGAGGCAAGGCGCACAATTTAAAAAAAATGCAAAAAAATTCAAAAAAGAAAAGCAAAAAATTATAAAACATAATATTAATAAAAATATTAACTTAAGTTTTAAAAAACCTATTATGTAAAATTAAAATACATAAATATAATATGTAAAGCAAATTCAAATGAGAATTTAAAAATGAAATCAAACATATAAAACATTTTCAAGCATATAAAACCCACAATCTCTTTTTTTCTCAATTGCATCAAGTAGCTAATGTGATATATTACATTCTTAATTCTACGAGCCGCCTTTGTGCCACACCCACCGAAGCTTCAAGAACCCCCTATTTGGTAATGTTGTCCATTCATTCATCTTAATAAAATATCTTCTTAAAAGCAATTTAAACTATAAAATTATTATTTTTTGTGTGAAATCTAAGAATTTAAGACCCTAACATGGACTTGTTTGGGCTGGCCTCGAGGGGCATGGTACGGGGGGTTCGGGGGTGGAGCCCCCAGCCCAGCGGCCAGACTTAAAAAAAGGGAAAAAGCGGCAAATTTCCAAAAGGTGCACGCCTGGGCTAAGGTGCAAGGCGCACCGGGCGCATGCCTAGGCGCACCAGGCATGCGCCTTTTGAATGGGCTACGCCTAGGACTTGGGCGAGGCGCCTACCCTAAAATGTGCCTCGCCTGAGCGCCTAGGCGCCTAGGCGCGCCTTTTAAATCACTGGAAACATGGCATTGCTAGGTTAGTGGCTGTGGAGATTTCCCAAGGAGCAAGAAAGCTTATGGCATAGAGTGATAGGAAGTATACATGGATTGGTAGCTAATGGATGGGATGCTGGTCTTAACCCTAGGACTTCTCGATCCTCCCTGTGGAAAGACATCATTGGTGTCTTGCTTTTGTTTTCTCCTTTCATTAGGTATGATGATTTCTTGGGTAATGATGTTTTCTTTTGGGAGGACACTTGGATTGGGGACCATCCTCTTACGGATGTTTTTTCGGCCCTCTAGTCCCTTTCTTCGAATAGAAAAAGAAAAAAAAAAGAAAAAAAGAAAAAAAGGAAACAATATTCCCTTTGTTCGAACAAATTTAAAATTATCTCTTCCTTTCGTGTCTCTGGGGATTCATGGCAGCTGGGTTTAACGAGAGGTTTGAGGGATTTAGAAGTAGGCTTGACAGGTGAACTTTTTTCTCTTCTAAATTCAATATTTCTGGATCAATCTTGTCTTGATAGTAGAATTTGATAAGAATCTTCCTCAAGGTGTTTATCTTGTTCTTTATTTCTCAATGCTTTGTTGCAATCTTCTAACTTGGCTACCTCTTTGCCTGTTAAAGAAGTGTGGTGTGCTCCTGTACCTCCAAATGTGAGGACCTTTTGTTAGGAAGTGGTTCTCCAAAAAATTAACACTTTGGATGCGCTTCAAAGGAAAAGAGCAAATTGGTGTTAATCCCCACGTGCCTGTAGCCTTTCCTTGAAGAGTGGTGAGATGGTAAATCATCTATTAATCTCCTATCCTTTTGTTACTTATATTTGGAATTGGTTCTCTTCCCTTTGGTTGCAGGTGGATCCTCCCACAAGCGTGACAAATCTTTTTGAATCTAGCCTTTTCCGACAACCAAAGAAAAGAGGAAGGGTGATGTGGAGAACAATGAGGGCAGCAATTATTTGGGCAGTCTGGGAAGAGAGAAATAACAGGATTTTCCAAGGACAAGAAAGAACAACACATGAACTCATAGGAGGGATTGTCATCAAGGCCATACATTGGCTGAAATAGTTGGATCTTTTCAAGGACTTCTCCGTAGATGATTTGTTTAGCGGTTGGAGCATGGTAGTGGGCTCTTCCTACTCATCTATTACCATTCAAGAAGATTGGTCCCCCCCTTTACAATTTAGGGTCCGTTTTGTTCATAGTCGAAATCGGAATTGGAACCAGAATCGCAATCGCTTGGAATCGGAGTTGGAATGATTTGTTCCCATAGTCTGTTTGGTTCAGACAGGAATTGGAATCAGCTGGAATGGGATTTCCTTCCCAAGGGAGGGGGAGGGATGGCCATTCCCTCAAACGGAGGAATGCCATTCCACCAGGAATGGGAATGGGAATCCAATACTGTCCAACCAAACAGTTGGAGTTGGAATGGCCCATCCCGATTCCGACTCCAGACCCCTATTCTTGTGAACCAAATGGGCTGTTAGTGTGAAACGGAATTTTGATGGCAGCTCTGTAGGTAATCCTGGTCCCTTTGGAATTGGGGGTGTTTTTGGAGATGTGGAAGGAAGAGTTTTGGCCCTTTTCTTTGGCTTGATAGGATTGGGTGACTCACTTAGTGCAGAAGTTGCACCTCTAGGGGCTCAGATTGGTAAACAATTGGTTTGTGTGGGAAGAAAGGAATTAGAGGATTTTCAAGGAGAAGAGTAGAGGGAGATGGAGATCATTGAAACAATTAAAATAAAAGTTGCATATTGGGTGAAGACCCTAGAAGAGTTCCAACTATTCTCTATAAATGACATATTGAGAAATTGGAAATAAGTGGCTCTATTAGCTAAAGGGAAGGAAAGAGTAACCATGGAATGAAGACCCAAAGCAACCAATTATTTTAAACTCAATTTCGATGGGAGTTACATTGGTAATCAGGCCACGGCTGGCCTGGGAGGGGTTTCTTGTGACACAGAAGGCAAGGGGTTGGCATTGTATTCAGGCCCTTAGCAGAAGGTAATGATGATTTGGCAGATGAGCTATGTGGATTACTCCATGGCCTAAAATTTGCTAGGCAATTTGGTTTCCATAACTTGGAGGTGGAAGGGGACTCTCAGGTGGTCATTTTTTGGACAAGATGTAGCTCCCAAATCACTTAGGTCTATAGACATAAGTTTCAGGAAATAGAAAGTTTAAGAAGGGAATTAAATGTGGTTTTTAAATGGGTGAGAAGATATTGATAAAAAAAATGGGTGAGAAGATCAGGCATGTATCCTAGCGTAGTTCCCTAGGTTCCATAATCATATTTCCTTAATAAATATCCATAATTTTCATAAGGAAAGTATAAACTTCATGTTAAAGTATAGAAAATCAACATATTCCAACATATTCATGAGAAGAAAAAGAAGAAAGAAAAGAAAATTCAAAAAATATAGGGGCTGAACCCCTATTTCTGTTATAGGAAAAGAAGAAAAGAAAAGGTGGAAGAAGAAGAAGAAATTAGTATATAAACACACAAAATTAGTAAAGAAAAAGAAGAAAATGTGTTGATTGGACAACATTTTATGTTCTTCCTTACTAATTGGTTCAGGTTTTTGAAGTCTTTGAGTGTTCAATACAGCATTTAGCAATGTTTGTGTTGATTAAACCCTAATTAATAAGAAAATAATAAAAAGAAATTAGTATATAAACACACAAAATGAATATTTTAGTTTAAAAAAATCTTTTTTATAATTATAACCTAAAAAAATTAAGAATATAAAAGTTTTTTATAACACACTATAGAAAACAGCTTGGTGATTAGGCAAGGCGAGCCTCTAAGGGCGCCTTGTCGCTTAGGCATCGCCTTGACACCATGGACAGCCTGTAAGGGAAATATTGAACCTAACATGGGAGCTTGAAGCACATTTTAAATGGACTAGGAGGTCAGCAAATGCAATGGCTGATACCTTATTCTAGGCGTGTTTGTAAGTTGTTTTTATTTTGAGGGGTCACCTTGCCTATGAAGGTGACAATTGTACTAAATTTCCTTTAAGCTTAATGAAAGTTGCTGCTTCCCATAAAAAACCATTTTTTTTTACCACTTTATTACAGAATACTGAATACATTTGGATTAATGAAATCTTCTAGACTTTCCTTCTAGCAATTGCCATGCCTCACCTTTCATATAAAGTCTGTCCTTACATGCTGCAATTAGTATTAGATCTGTATTCACCAATGCACACAACTATACATCTCTTGGAACTTTCACCAAATGGATGCTGTACATGAACCCTTGTAACTGCTTTATTCCATAATCAGTAGAAGTTTGTATTGGCTAGAATGACCTAATACTAGGATTCTGCAGAAGGTAAAAGCATACACCTGGGGGAGGGAGGGATGTACAAGTTATATTTCCTTGTTGGCCAAATGTTTTATCAATCATCTACTGATTTTTTTTTTTTAATTAAGCTTTTATTTGTAAAGTCAGCGTCTATTTCTAGAGGCAAATAGACATTATTGTTAAGATAGTCTTCACCATTGACTTCCGATAGGCACCAATATAGTATCAATCTAAGTGAAGTATGACATGCATGTCCATTGCTTGTTTTGGATATTATCTCCATTCTCCATTTCATGTCTTTTCTGTCAGGTCACCATTGTTAATGCACCTTCCTTTATTTTAAAAATCTTCCCAGATTCATGTATTTTTGCTTTAGTAGTGCTATCTAAATTTCATATTTATCGTAAAATTTTCATGTATGGGTCACACTACTAGCTCTTTTAGTATATTGTTTACTATGGTATAATTAAAGAAACTGAAACCATCAGAGAGGGTGTAGGTTCATGTAAGCTAAAGATCACTTTTCTCTTCTCTTTTTATTTTTCCAGAGCGCGGGGGTACAGTTTCCTCAAAGGCCTCGGGTTCCTCTGCCAGATCATCCTAGTAAAAAAGCACAAGTGAATAATGTATCTGCAGACAAGCCTGTTTCTCCAAAACATGAAGGCATTGCTCAGCAAGCAAATGCTCAGATTGTGCCTGAATCTAGGTACTTACGCCATCATTTATGCAGCTGAATTGGTGTGGTAGTCCCCTTTAGTAGGATCATCTTTCCCTTCTGTGTTTGGTAATTTGGTTAGAGGGAAGATTTTGGTGGGATGGGATGTGATGAGAAAGGAAAAATGGGTGGAAAATTTTCCCGTTCCCTTGTTTGGTTGCAAAAGGGAAAATAGTGGGAAAATCAACCCCAATAACAATTATTAATTAATTAATTAGGTAATTAATACTATTTTTATTACTTTATATTTTTATGCATTAAATATTAAATATTAAAATTTTTAATTAATTAGTATTGATAATTAGTCAATTAATTATGAATTAAGAATTAACATTTTCATTTTTAGTTAACTAATTAATTATTAATTAGTTAATATTTATTATGAATTAGTCAATAATTTTTGTTTTGCATTACTAGTTCTTCTTAATAATCAATTCTTCTATCATTTATTTATTAAGCAAATTAGTAATAAATAATTATTTTAATGAATTCATAAATTAATATTTTTATTAACTACTTTTATAATTAATTAGTTAGTTAATTAAAATTAATATTTTTTATATTTATATAATTAATTATTAATTAGTGAATATTTAATATGAAGTAATTGATAATTTCTATTTTATATTACTAAATGTTTTTGATTATTTATTAATGAAATTAGTAATAAAATAACTTTTTAATAATTCATTAATAACTTAATTAATTAATTAATTAATTATTAACTACTTTTTGTTAATTGTTAAATAATTATTAATCAATTAACATTAATAGTTAGTTAATTATTATCATTAATTAGTATTTTAACTTTAATTAATTAGGTAATCGGTAGTATTTTTAGTGTTTTATATTTTGCTTTTAATTAATTGTTAATTACTAATATGTTTATTCATGAATTTTATAAATAATTAGTCAATTAATGAATATCAATAATTAGATAATTAATTAATTATTAATTAGCTAATAATTTTTATTTTATTTTACTAGTTATTTTAACACTTTTTCTATTTATTAAGTAAATTAATAATAGAATGATTATGAGTTATCAATAATTGCTTAATTAATTAGTAACTACTTTTGTTAATTTTTAATAATTATGAATTAACTAATAATGTTTTTATTGTTAATCAATTATAATTAAATTATTTTATTATTGTCTTATTACAATTAACAATTATTGTCTTATTGTCTTGTTTTATTATTGTTAATCAATTAACTCTTCTTTTTTTGTTAAACAATTCCCCCCCTCCTTTCCCTTTTGTTTCCTGCCAAAATGGTGGGATTCCACATCCCAGGAATTGAGAATGTAGTCCCACCTTTTTCCTATCCCATCTCATGGCACCCCACAAACCAAACGTGGGAAGGAAAGAATATTCAAGAATATTCCATATTTTCACTTCGCACCCATTTACCAAACGGAGCCTTATTGCGATATAGCAATGAAAGCCTACAATTGTATTCTGATTCGTAGGTTTTTGATTTGCATTGTCTAAGGGAAGGCAAAATAGAAACTAAATTTAACTTTTGTTAACTTGTCATTCTCACTCTCTCTCTCTCTCTCCCCATATATATGTGTGTGTGTACACGCGCACGCGCGCATGAATAGTTTATTGTTATCTTGCAGATGCATCAAAATAAGGGATGGAATCGTCCGTGCAAATTAGATTGCAAAATTGGATTGACCTTGTATATTTGGATGGTGTGTTGCACAGAACATTATTTTGGCATCCAAGTCTCTAGTTTGCAAAGCCCTTGCCTTGTAACCGGAAATAATAAACAATATATTTGGATGATTTTCAGAATAAAAAGAGAGAATAAACAAGCAGAAAGCATAAAATAAAGAAGAAGAAAGGACATAAATGCTGTATTCAAGTGGGTGAGGACTGTAAATGGGGTGTAGCTGATTCCCTTACTAAGCAAGGGGTCATAAGACAGTAACATTTTTGGGCTTCATTGTAAATTTGTTTGCATTCTTGGGTTGACAGTCTTTTCAGCTGAATGTATTAATTTCATCTCCTTGCTAATAAAATATATTTTATTTACTGATAAAAGAAATAAAAATAAAAGTAAAGAAGAAGAGAGGAGGAAGAGAAGACAAGCGTATGTTTGAAGACAACTCCCAATTTTGGGCTGCTATGTTGTCCATCTATCTTATATGGTAACTGCCGTAAATAAACATATGTCCCTGTCTAGGTAAAAAGTAATGCTTAAAATCCCACTAATACTGAAGTCCCAATAAAGAAAGAAGAGCAAAAAAAAAAAAAAAACAGATAAAAGATAAATATAGCCCACTTTTCGACATCCCCCCTCAAGCTGAGCATAGAGATTACATGCCCAGCATGCCTACATAAAAATTAAGAGCTTTCCTATATACAAATTAAGCTTTGATTCGATAGCATCTTTAGTGAAGACATCTACCAAGTACCAACTCTCCTAAAGCCATAAATGAAAGACACACCTTGCATGAAAGTACCTTTTCTCTGATAAAATGTTATTGACTTCAATATGCTCTGTCTTATCATGTTGAACTTGGTTATCAGCTATGTTAATGGCTGTTTGGTTGTAATAATACATTGTCATAGGCCTTTGATATACAATTGATAGTTCCTTTAGCAATGATCTCAACCATAACATCTTAGGGACACCATGTGCCATTGCCCTGTATTCTGCTTCAACATTAGACCGGGTTACAAAAGTTTTTGACCTCTTCTAGTCCACAGAGCTAACCTAATCAGTATTTCAAAGGATTTGATCCTCATGTGGTCATAGTCCAAACAAAATTCCCTTCCTAGGTTGACTCTTCAAGTTGTAGAGACAAAGGGGAGGGCTAGTTTTGTCTTTTTCCTTTTGTATACTATCTGTACACTATTTGTTTTATTGTTGTACACTCTTTGTGTCTTGAGGATAGATTGGTCCTTTTACTTCTTAATATAAATATTACTTTCTGGGAATGGCTAGTAACTTTTTGGACACAGTCGTATATTGTTCTCTCTTCTCTCCTCTTATTCGAACCTTTTTCAACATGGTATGACAGCAGGTCACGATCTGATCTGCTGATAAGGGTTCATCTATCCTCTGTTTCTCTGCTGTTAGGAGCACATTCTCTAGTTGGCTGTTTCAATCACCCAAAATCAGTTCTGTTTTCTAGGGTTTTACGCAACCCGAACCCGAACTGGTGTTACCCTTGGATTTCTCTTGGGAGGCATCTCATCTCTATAAATCTCTGGATTTGTGGTCACCTAGAAGAGTTTTACTGATTCCCCTTGGCTGGAGTAGAGTAAATCAGTTTTTTAAGAATATTTTTGATTCTTCTCTTTGAGCAGCTACTGCTATAGATTCTCTTTCTGGACAAGTGATCAACACTTTAGTAGTCTTTGTGTTGTCAGCTACTCTGGTTAATCATTTCGACCAGGTTTGGCGTTTCCTCTCCTCTCTCTTATCATTTTCTTCAAGAGGGTTCTGTTTCAGCTTGCAAGGTGTTTAATAAAAGTTCTCTTAGACTGTTCTTTGGCTGCTTTGGGTGTCTTGTTAATCACCTCCATTTGATTACTCTCTACTACTGTTACACCACCATTGTTGCTTGTTTTTCTGTTTCAATGGCTGAGGAAAGAACTGATATTCTTTCCATCAAGTTTAATGGATCTAACTATGCCTTGTGGAAGTTTCACTTCCAATTTTATGTTGAAGAGAAGGTCTTTGGGGCTATTTGGATGGATCAACTACTAAGCCCAATGATACTGATGTTAAGGCCGTAAAGCAATGGAAAATTGACAATGCAAAAATTGCCTCTCAGATCCTTGGTTTGGTTGAAATTGATATAGCTATTCCGATGTGTGGGTATAGGATTGCTTATGAGATGTATCAATACCTTGAAAAGGTATATCAATAGTCTATTTTTTCTTGGTAATATCAAATAGAGGTTGACATATTCTCTTACCATCAAGGAGAGAGAGAAAGATTCAAGAGTATTATGTCGGATTCATCAACTTATGGATTGAATATGAATTGGTACACATGGGGGAGGATCCTTCATCTTGTTGTGTCAAGTTTATGAAGGCAAACTTTGATAGAAGAAAGATTATGCACTTTCTGATACATCTTAGGCACTTTCTGATACATCTTAGGCCTGACTATGAAGTTGTTAGGTTTACCATTCTGTTTAGGGTAATACTACTAGACCTAGATACTATTCTTGGGGAACTTCTTAGATTAAAAACCAAGTTGACTATTCAAATTGGTCTTGATGGGAAGAGGAACTCTAGTTTGTATACTGTTTTTCTTGCTACTAGACCCAAAGAGAAGAAAGATTCTTTCAAGTACAGTGTTTTGAATGTAAAGAATTTGGTCATGTGGATTTACATTGTAAAAAGAAGAATACCAACACTTATTGCAAGCAACAAGGGCATATTATATCAGAATGCCCTACTTGGCCTTGGGCCTAGTCAGAAGAAAGTTCAACATAAAGCATATGAAACTTCAGTAGAGAGTTCAGATAGCTCATCCTCTTCTGCTTCCTTGGTGCCAAAGGGGGGAATTTCAGGTGTCATGACAGAAGAAAAGATTCGTTAGCTTATGTCCACGACCATTTCTTCTGCTTTTTCTACTATTGGCTTGTCTGGTAAGTCTTATTCTTTTTGTCCTTCACCTAATCATTCGTGGATCATCGACTCTGGTGCCTCTAGTCATCTCCTTTTCACCTAATCATTCGTGGATCATGACAGGGGTCTCTTTTGGTCAGTCACCTAAATCCTTCTCTTCTGATAGACACATTGTTACCGTTAATGGTGAAAAGCTAAATATTATTGGATGTGATGACCTTTTTTTTATACTTCTAAGTCATCTCCTTTTCACCTACCAAAGACCTTGTTTGTGTCCCAACTTACAACCAATTTTCTCTCTGTTGGACAACTTTTTGAAGAAGATAATATTGTTTACTTTTCTTTTGATGGCTGTTTGATACAGTGCCATAGATTGTGTCGTCTATTCACTTT